CTCCAGTGAGAATTGAACTTGTACTCAACCGCTTGGGGGTGCGACAACTTCACCACTTCACTAAGTCGCCACACCCTAATTTGCTGCTTCTCTTATCATTTCAGTTTTTGGTAGTATAGTATTATTCTTTCAAGCAAGTATTCAACATTATTTTTCTAATTGGAACTTATTTGCACAATCTGTTTCAAGCAAATACTTACAAGTTGGATGTGAAGATGTTAGTATTGTCTAAAATAAAGATAAAAAGATGTTAATATTATCTTATTTTTTCTATTAAAGACTCACTTATACAATCTTTTACTATCTAGACCTTCTGTGATATTATTATTATGCATAGTATCTGCACTTCATAATCAGACTCCTTCCAGAAATTCTTATTCCTTGTATTTGAACTTTCTACAGGACTTTGCATTCGATTATGGCCTCATATAGATTATAGTAAAAAAATTTCTTGCAAAATTTTACCACAAGATTTTTTTTTATATAATTTTTAAGATGACAATTTATAACTTGTATATACTGTACATGCGATGTATAAACACATCGCAGGGTGCGACTCATACATTTATCCTATAATTAAAATAAACTTCAATTTTATGAATAATTACGTTAATATGACTTCGTTTCATTAATACCTATTGTTATTTCGTTTAATCTGCCGCAATTAATACTCTAAGTATAAAAAACATTTTATTGGGCTAAGTATATAATTCAATTTCATGAATATTTACTACTCAGCTTAATTTTATTATATATTTTTAAAAATGACAAAAAATCCTTATTACATACAGTACCGTAAATGTGCGTATACAAGACCCGGGTATGTTACATTCCACCAATTTTTAAACCACTTAATAGACCCCGGGTCTAGTACACGCCCAGAGGTTATATCGTGAAAAGAAAAAAATTTAAAGTACATACACACTTTGTACTTATAATAGGCAGTCTAGCTATTTGAAAAAAACCGCATTTAATTAATAAAGTTTCCGTGGTTCGCACTAGTTTCACCAGCAATTCTAGTTCGCACCCGGGTCTAATCCATGGTGGGTCTATTATTTCAGGGGATCTTGTATACGGGATTAGAATTTACCGTATAACCTGCATTAGACCGACACTTGAACATCCCAATGCATACTTTTTCTAAATGCATGCTAATCTTCAGTTCCATAAAACTTTTATAAAATGCTCTCCATAAATGCATGCTATCTCTAAATATAAATTTCTTCTATAATCTCAAGAGGGTACACTTATAGAAGATTGACATTGTTCGGGCCCTTCTCTGCTGCTGTGATCTAGATTTAAAAATTGATCGACTTAGTCTGCTAGATCGATTTCATTGACTAACGTTAACACGACTAACACCAAATATATTACAATCCACAATCACTAACGCTAACCAAAAGGCTAACCAAAAGGTGTTAACGGGGTTATAATTAAGTTACACTCATGCGATAATAAATTTGTTTTCTTACTTTGATGTCAATAATAAAAAAAAAAAAAATTTTTTTTTATAGAATCAATTTTTTTTGTCGTGTAACGAACATTATCATGTGTTGTCATATTAACGTAAATCGGCAATATAGACGCAATTATTTATTACCAATAGATTGAATGAGTAAGTGGCTTGAGCGTGTATTCATTTATCCAATCGGATCCAGTAACTTTTATCGAATTGTTTTTTTTATAAACAATTGCAGTTGAAACTCAGCTTTTTTTTCTTTAGAATTTTAGAAATTAGAAAATTTTTCGTATATGTTCATAAGTGTACATATTTGCTAATCAATCAACATAGTAGGCATAGAATATAAACTTACATTAGACAAAGTAGGATGGTAATATTGACAGAAGAACTTATTCTGTCAAAATCAAATTCTAAATCAGTCTCCGACGTTCGCAACTTAAATCTTTGGGTACCGATAAGTCTAAAAGCAAGGATCTATATTTAAATTATCATGATATGTATTAATATTCTTTAATACTTAGGGCTGTGAGCTAGATAACGTCAGTGCTCTTAAAAAATGTACCAGCTTAGAAGTACTAAGTTTGAGGTAAGTAAAAGGTAAACGATCTATTCGCATATTTCAATATTTACAAACCACTTTTTTCCTACCTTTTAATGAATATAGTGTCAATAATCTCACTACACTGGATCAACTTGCGGAATGTGAGTCAGCTTTTCAGTTTTCTGATGTTATACAGAGATTTATACAACGCGTGTCAACTTTGGCCTCATATAAATTTTGTCGCGAATTTTGTTTTAAAATAATTGATCTTTATTAGGTAAAAGTTTAAAAGGTTCGTATATTCAATTGAGGTTATAATTTAATTATGTGTTCAATTCGTTGTTTACGAGCTCTACCTTTTATTAATGTAGAACTTTATTTACGAAAGAATTACATTAACGATGCAGAACAAGTAAAACATTTGACACCGCTAAGAAATTTAGAAGTACTTTGGTTATGTGATAACCCTTGTGCAGATGATGAAAAGAAATATCGGTACATAATTCTTAGGTATCTGCCTTGGTTGAAAAAATTGGATCATCATGGTAAGTGCCAAGGACCATAGAAAAACCAATTATTTCATTAGTTATATGTAAAATTACTAATAGTAATTGTTCGAATAAGACGTTACTGATGATGAAGTTCTTGCTTCCATGAGTAGTGTAAGTTAAAAATTGGAAAAAGTCAGGTTCTTTATTATTAATTTATTAATAATATAAATTATAATTATAGTCACCCGCTGCTATGCCACTTAAAATCCGTAAACGGCTTACTATTTCTGCTAGGTCATCGGTTGACAGATCTTCTTCTTCTTCTTCACTTGACAAGAACGAAGAGAAATCATTTAATGAATTCAATGGAAATAGTCAGTTGAAGGCAAACGTTAATAGCGGAAACCTTTTATTTTATGGAAATGGGTCGTTTCCGTCATCACCAATGTCTTGGGGGACAGGTTTAAGTTGGTCACAACTTCGAGTACCAAGGTCGAATTATGACTCAGAAGATCAAGCATCTGTAGTTCACAACGAAATACAACCAACTAAAGATCATGCAAATAGTTCTTTGACGGTACATGAGAATAATCAAACAGGAATATCAAATGGTATTTCTGGTATAGGTGTACGATCCTTAGTTAAGACATCTGGATCTTTAAGTCGATCACCATCTGTCAAGACATCTGGATCTTTAAGTCGATCACCATCTTTACGATCGCCGTCTTTGACACCGCCTCCATTGCTAAGTTCTAATACAGAAAAACTTAATACGGTGGCAAAAAGCGCATCAAAAATAGCTAGACAAAAATCAAGCAGTAGTTTAGGAACCAGCGTAGATGGAAATTTGAAAACTAATGGAATTAAACAAGCACGACTACCAGTAAAACCAACAACATCACTCATTAGAACACCGTTTCGTACATCATCCTCAAAAGTAAATGATAATAATTTAGAAGATACTGAACTGGACACAAAGAATGAACCTCGACAGGTTTGTATTCGAATTTGAAATGTGGTTTTTAGCTTATTTATAATATTTAAGTTATTAGTGTATTATTCGTGTATTATTCATGTTTATTTGTGTGTTATTTATGTATATACTTAATTTTTAATTATTATAGTCCAATGTACTTACGGCAGTTCTTGCTTTAATCGACGAACTCGGTGAAAAGGATTTACAAGTTGTTCAACGTAAAATACGACTTTTGACGCTTAATCGACAGGGTCAACCAAGCAGTAAATAATTAATTAGTGGAATAAACCTACACATGATAAACATGGATGTTTTATTATAACTTATACACTTTTGTTTTTTGAATTAGATAATTAACATATATACACTATATAATATATAATTATTTACGTAGTTTGATGCTACATTATAGATTGTAAAAGTTAACTATAACCGAATAAAAGGAGCCGGCCAAGAGGCCACCTTAACACCAAAAAAAAAAAAAAAAAAAAAAAGAGAAGCAGCAAATTTATAAAAATATTGTAATAAAGAATTAGTTTTATTTAAATTAAAAGCATCTTTGATATTATAGAATAGCTAGCTAAAAGAAGATAGTTATATAAAGATAAACTAGCTAATTTAGTATATATCAAGTCAGAAAACTTTAGGTATATTTAAATAGAAATCTATAATAAAAAAAATCAAAATATACTAATATTAATACAATATTAATTAATAAATAAAAGTTCAAGTTGAAAGTTAAGGTAAATTGAGATTCTCTTTTTAATAACATAATACTAAACCTATAGTTAAAAATAAAGTTACTTGCTACTAAAAAAATTTTATAATATTAGCTAGTATTTAACAAAATAAATTATTAAAACAACTATATAAAATATGATTCTAGTAATATACTATATAAAAAGTATAAATAAATTAGTAAGTATTACTATATTTAAAAAAGAATATTAAGCTTTGGATAGTATTACAAATTAGCAAAATTTTTTAATTAATTAGTTGGTTAATTATTTTTTTAGTTGGTTATAACTAATTAATTAATTAATAAATTGTAACTAATTGATTAATTAATAAGTCAATAAACTGTTCTATAACAAAAAAACTCTTTCTGCTACACTACAATTTACAAACAACAGAAAAACAAGAAACAGCATTTCTCTCAATAACTAGTATAAGAAACAGGACTTCTTGTACTAAGAAAAAAGGAAGAGAACTACAAATAATACTTCTTTTGTTAAAGAAGCTTTTCGTAAAAACCTTAAGGCAAGCAACCAAGTAAAGCTTTCGAAAAAATTTTAGAAAATTTTCGAAAATTTTTGAAAATATCACTTTGACCCTAAAAATCTGATCAAAAAACACATAAACAACAACAACAACAACAAATACATAAGATCAGACAAACAAATAAACAAATATTAGAGCATATTACTATTTTAGGTACAACAAAACAACAATCAACAAACAACACACATGACTTATTGCAGAATATTCTAGAGTATAATATCACTATATAAATGATGAAAATAAATCTTCTAGAATTTATTTGGGACAGAAGAGTAATCACGGTCAAGTATATACTCGACAAGGCACTTGAAGAAGTAGTTAGCGAAATTACACTTACTGAGCCTAACAACATTGAACATATAGCTAAAACATTATCAATAGAAAATGAGAGCGCTATCTCACCAATAGAAGTATTAGCATATAGACACATACTAAGGGTTTTATATCAAGCTGAAACTAGAGAGTGTCTAAAAAAAGAGATAGAAAAATGGACAGAAA